CAATATGAGGAACTTGTTATTAAGCGATTATTGTTTCTAGTGTGTGAACACACAGGTGTGTGTGTGTGTGTGTGTGTGTGTGGGCAGCAGGTGAATGGGGTTTGGCCTGCAGTCATTTATGAAAATAAATCAGATGGAATTAAAAGACGAGGCAATAAACCTGCGCTCTGCGTGTGAAGCCCTACAAAAGCCCACACTGCTCATGTCTGAGGCCGGACCACACGCGTGTGCTTTAACTTGTGTGCGTTACCCAGAGGGCAGTGCGCAGATGTGTGTGTGTGGACAGTACATGTAAAGAAAACAGGAAGAGCACGACATCAGGAAGAGTTTGCATGTGAACTTCAATGCATCTCTAACTGACCCAAGAGTGTGTTACAGCAGAGATTTTCCCAGCTAACAGAAACACAGCCTAGGAATGTTTTGCTAACGTACCCATTTCAAAACATCCAGGTTTTTAAAAAACAAACATTTAGGGAACATTCCATCTGATCAAACTGTAACACCGTGTGTCCCAACCAGACACGACGCGATAAAAAGTATCTTTTCCATGTAGTTTTTGTCCTAACCACCCGCGACAGCGACACGTGACAATAAGCGACACAAGATTCTATTTTAGGAACGGTTTTTATTTTCTGCAACATCACGGCAGGAACAACATACAAAATATGACAGCGATAATCTTAGGTAATGATTATGTGCTTTATTCAATGTTAAAAGTGTCTAATGTGAGTTTGAATATTATTTTGCGTTATCTTTTTCCGTGTACACTTTTCTTTTCTACACACTCGCCATGTTTTTGCTGTCACATCGTATCTACACTGGACGTGACAAAGCATTGCAAATCATTTGAACGTCGTGTCAGTACGTTATAAATAGAACGAGTCAGCAGTTTACTGTCGGGGATTTGTCGTGTCGCGCCGCTCGCGTCCAGTGGAGACATGATGTAAGTTAATGTAGCTTTCTGATGCTGCATTTTAGGGCTGTGCGATTAATCGAAATCGTCATAAAAACCGCAATTTGAGCTTGCGCGATTTCTAAATCGCTTTATAGCACGATTTTCCACGCCCCGACCTCCCACAGTATGCTATACGAACCAATCAGAATGCAGCGCGCCTAAATGTAGCATGAGAACAGAACAGACCGGGCGGGCATACAAACGTAACGCCAGGTTTACACACTCCGTCTGTGGTGCGTATTTTCTCCGTGCCCATGTTAACGGATCACAGCGTTCACACTGCACGCGATTGCGGTCCGGCAGTGCGCTCCAGGAGCGGTGCGTCTGCAGCAGTGCTGCGATCGTTTCCGCACGGAGTCTATTTCTGCTGTGCTGCATGCACTGAAAGTGACAGCGCATTATTCGCGGTAAAAAATAACATGGATTGACACGGAAATTTAGTAATTACACCATAAATGCATATAATTAAAGTCTACTGTTTCACAGTCAACACATGGCTTTTTGGCTAGATTTAAAACAAGGAAAAGTGCACTTTTAGATAAACAATGCAGACGGAGTACGTGTGAACTTGGTGCAACAAATCTAGTTCAACATCTGAGGCAACGCCACAAAGAGCTCTATGACCAATGCATGGCAAAAAAAATCCCTGGACACGGGATTTGTTTTTTTTCTGCCATATGTCAATTCTAGAGACATTTTGTTACACCTTTACTTAGTGATTATTTTGCCTTATGTCTGTTCTAGAGACATGTTACAGCTTTTTGATAAAGCTCTAATTGGTTTTCTTTTGGAAATATGTTTCAAATTCACACTGAATGCATTAATGACTGTAAAGCATGTCTGTGTGTGTCAAAATCGTGATTAAAATCGAAATCGCAAAATTGATGAAATCGCGATAGGTTTTTTTTGTCCATATCGCACAGCCCTACTGCATTTGAATTTTCATGCCACATTATTTGAAATTAGTGCGGGCCAAACTTTTTTCTCTCACGGGCCGCCTATTGAGGAACCCTGCTTTAGAATGTTCACTGAACGTTCAGAAACAAGTAGTTAATTAAAAAAACAAAAACATTTAGAAAAACTTCCATGAACGATGTATAAATAATGTTTTTGTGCTAACGTTTTGAGAACATCATTCAAGACCAGATACTTTGAATGAGCATTCTATTGTCATTACTGGAAGAACATTTGTTCATAACTATGAGAGAAACTTAGGAGAACATTGCCACACCTAACAATGGCTAGTGACAGAGAAACTTCACCGGCCATAAATACTTTTAACCAGACATGAAACTGTATGTGTATTAGTTCCTTAAAAAACAGGAAAAACAATTGCAATTTTTTAGAATTTTAGTACTATTTATTTATTTCAAATATGAATATTAAAATACATATAGTGATATTTCTTTATTTTTTGTTACATTTTTATAATTTGATTAACTAATAATAATAATAATAATTATTATATAAAAAAATATAGAATTACTTATTATATTACTAGTTAATAATAATTATATTATTATTATTAATCAAATTATAAAAATAAAGTATTTAATAATAATACTTTTAACTTATATAATAATAATAATAATTTATATAATAATAATAATACTATTTGTAATATATTTTTTAAATTGTTATTATTATTATTAAATTTAACATATTCTCAGACATTAGAATTAATAAAAAAAAGTTACTGGCCAAGTGGTGAGTAACACTCTTTCGTATACTCACCAGCGCTAATTTTTCCTCACATTTGGTGCTTGGCGAGTGTTAATTTGAGGCGGTGTGTGATTATATCAGCTATGTTAAAAAGCTTGAAAAGCTTCAAATGTTGCTGATCCGATCAGATTTGAGCGCTGTTTATTCGTGCTAACTGAGGTGCTCAGGTGTGAATTCTTGATCTTTAATCTGCTCTAGCTCTGAATAACTACAACAGCAAACACGTGATGTACGAAACCGCTTGCAGAGCTGTTCTCAAATTAGCTTTCAGAAAAATAAAGAAAAAGCTACAAACAACTAAAAGGAGAGCGCGTGCAAACGCACATCAGCTTTTCGCTTCGGAGCCGAGCCTTCTACAAGGACGAATCTCCGAGAGTGTCTGCAGGAAACAGCCTAGCGTTGGTGTTACGGCGCGTCAGCGGGGGTTGCCATTCAGTGCTGCTCATCTTCGGCATGCTGCAGCTTCCATTCTGCGGTCTCGCTGCGACCTCCCCTGGGCGCTTCAGCGCTCTCTCTAAAAGAGTATTTTTTCCATTCTAAAAGAGCTTCACGAGCGACGGGGGCGAAACACGCACGCCAACTGTCATTGGCTTGTTTAGTTTACACTCGTAGGTGATTGGGCTCTCGGGCGAGATCCCAATTCGTCAGTCACGACTGACGTAACGTCTCCGTTCCCTCCTTCAGGGAACGAGGGTTACACAAGTAACCGAGACGTTTTCCTCGTGTGTAAATGACCGTTCTCAACGAGGTAAGTCTCATTAGTCTGATACTAATGAACGCGCTGCTTGATTATATTCTAATATAGCAAGCATAAACAAACAATCGTTAGAACGGCCTGCGAAAATAATTACGGCTGTTTTCTGGTGCCGTGACCCGGGTTTGCTGTTTCTCTTGATCTTATTTATTTATTTGCCATTTCTGTATATACAGTCCAGCAGTAAACATGGGAATGTTTGTGGAGGGCTGCTGGTCATTCTGGTGTGTGTTTACGGGGCGCTGAACTGCATCCGTGCACAAAGTCAGATGAAGGTCACGTTTTAAGTAAATGAATCACTGGCTCTGTCTCAGCATCCGACCGACACGCTCATGATTTCTGCCCTTCTCTTCAGCTTTCTCAGTCCGTTAATGAACATAGGGAAGGTGCAAAATCTCAACAGGAAGTCTACAGTCACATGCTGTCTTCAAAGAGAGACTTGAGAGGGAAAAAACAAATGTACTAAAAATGGAAACCATGAAATATGAAACGTGAAAAACACTGTGTTAACACTCCATCAACACCGCAAGCAACAAAAATACATCATTCCCATTCAAATCAATGAAGGTGTCTTTTCTTGAACTTGCATTTAAGCAAATGAATGTGTTAAAAAGAAAGATTCCTCATAATATCATTGCTAATTTTTCATTTTCCAATTAACCCTACCAATGCATAAAAAATGCATGGTTTTTAGTAAAACTATATATATATAAGAGATATATCCATTTAAAAAAATAGCAATACATTTGCGTTCCGGATATTAAATATGGCTTTACGCATGATGTTATTTAGACGTTTGTACATCTATGGAGTTAGATTAGTCTCAAGAATACTTTTGCAAATTATATTTAGCCTATTTCCTATATATCACAAACTTTTAGGACTGAATTTCACTCCACCGCCACATATCGATGAACCACTGCAGCATGAAAAATCTATCTTTTTCATCTGAAAGTCCAAGTTTATGCAAGTAAAATTGATGTATTTTGTTTGAAAACATTTCAGAGTAATATTGTTGTTTTGTCAGAAAATGAATATTTAGGTTTCATAAAGTTAGATGTTTTTGAGCCATCAAGAGTTATAAGCTCAAAAGAATTTAATTAAATAAAGTCAATGGTAATTCTCAGTTTATATGTTCCTATAAATTTCACACAATGATATATTCAAATAAAATTTCTCACAAATATTCATAATGTTTTTCTTGCATTACACCAATTTTGAAAAAAATTCTAAATTTTTTAATGATCAAAATGGGAGGTTAATATAGTAAAAAACATGATAACACTGTAAAACATTTAAATCTTTGCACATTCACATGTTGCTAAGAAGTTATTAATCAGATGCAATATGGTTTTAGCTGAAAAAATATTAAGTTATGAAGCTTACATACCACCAGGTCAAAAAAGTTGCATGCAGACTGAAAATACATTGGTCGGGTTAATCCTTATGGATATGATCAAGCACTTTCCTGAATTGTTTCCTGCTGAATATTGTTGCACCCCAAAATACAGCACATTGCATGTAAGTGTGGTTAAGATTAATATGTCTGTATGTGGTTTGGTTTATCACCTGCTCTGGCTGGTTGGCGTTGGCCAGCGGCGTGACCATCCATATGATGTAGAGATTATTGAGAGCGGCGCTGGTGGTGAACGTACAGGGCAGGATGGCCGCCTGACCTCTGGCCACCTGAACGCTGCTCTGACTCACCCTCACTTCCAGCGCACGCACACACACTGAGGAGAAAACACACAAAACACACACACACACACACACACACACACACACACACACACACACACGTGAGTGAAAAATATCATGCATATTAAACACACAGCCAACAGGTAATATATACACTCAATTCAATTATTGAGAACATTAGTTATACATAATGAAAACGGGTCATACTCTCACATGAACATGATATAAAATTCTACTCATTATCCCGCATCTGTTCATTTGTTCATCCATATTTTTAGACAGCAATAAATTCATCAGACAATCTTAAAAAGGTCTAAGTGATGCTGCGGTGTGTTCTTTTTTTCTCTTTGGCCAAAAACCGAAAATGCAATTTTCGGCCGATAATTTTCGGCGGCCGAAATTTCAGTGCATCCCTACTAGCAACATTCAACATTCAGCAAAAGTGGTTGAAATAATGTGAATCTAGCTCAAAGTTTTGAAATAATGTTTAATGGGAATTGGTTGTAAAAATGTTAACAAAATACGATAAAACTTTACAATAACTCTTGTATCTATGCCTTTACAATACAATGTTTTCTCAACATTGAAACAATGTTTCATGCTAAATGCTTGTAAAAATGTTACATAATACAGTGACACTTCACAGGAAGGTAATGCATTCACTAACTTTAACTACTAATGAGCAACTCATTTGTTATAGTATTTATTAATCGTTGTTAATGTTAGTTAATAAAAATATGACTGTTCGATGTTAGTTCATGTTAGATCAGGTCCATTAAATAATATTAACAGATACAATGTTTTAATACATTTTAATAATGTATTAGAAAATTGAATTTAACATTAAGATTGTAAATATACTTAGAAATCAACACTGAAATTTTGAAATAATATTAACAGATGCAACTTTTGATTAGAATAATATATTAAATGCCAAAAATGACTGATAAATATTTTAGAAGGAATTATCAGTCATTGTTAGTTTGTGTTAACTAATGTTAAAAAAAGTGTTACCAAACATACTTAAAAATCAACACTGAAATTTTGAAATGATATTAAAAGATTTACCTTTTGATTTTAATAATGTAAATGTTTAAATTAACATAAAGAATACACGTTTTAGAAGTATTTTCATTTTTAGTTCATGTTAACTAATGCAGTTAACTAATGTTAACATACAAAACCTTGTTGTAAAGTTTTACCAAAAATACTTATAAATCAACACTGAAATTTGAATTTTGAAAGACGTTGAAACAACACTGCAGTATCAACGTAGATTCAATTTGCAAAATCACAACAGTCATTCAACCTTGATGCATGACATTGAATAACTGTAGAAATGCCAGCTGGGTAAAAACAAACCAAGTCACATCCTGTTTTGATGGCGTGATTAGTTCAAACACAATCACATGTCAAATGATACACACTCATGGCTTATGCTTGCATGAGCTAAACGCATTAAATGTCTTCAATTGGGTTACGTCCTCAGAGGTCTGTGGGTGTTATCTGAACTCTTTAATGCTATTTATGGTTATATTGTTTATTTTAAGAACATCCTCATTCATGAATTTGATTGGATTAGCATGTGTATGAACAGCACAATGCCTCTAATCAGAAGAGATGAGCGGGCTCGTGTTTCCCAAGCCTCGTTAACACAATATCACATGATTATCATCTGGCCAATCACGTGGGAGGAAGTCAGATCCTCACCAGCTGCAAGTTATCAGTGAGTGACTACTAACATACCGCACAGGATACACTGTATACTACTTAAAAAAATAGTTCACCCAAAAATTAAATTTGCTAACCGAGTGCACTGCATTCTGGGATATAGTTTCTCATGCAGTTAGACTGAACTCCATTCTGTACGTAACTAATGCATTTCACAGATCCTAATTACAGTCAAGCTCAAATGAATCCACAAAGGATCCTCACACACATAATCTCAGAACTGTGGATTGTGTTGTAATCCTGTTTCATACACGGTAGCGTTTAAAGCCCACCAGACTAAAGCTGCATTCTGTCAATCAAATTACACACACAAAGAAACAAAGACTAATAAAACAGGCTCATGCATTTCAAGTTATGAGTGAAACACCTGCAACTATTTAAAAATCAGCATGTGAAACCGTATGCAGTATGCATGCAATGACAAATGTATGTCTATGTAAAAGAGCAGTATGTAAGAGTCACATGATCTCGCTACGTGCATCTTTAAATCAGTTCAATTATTACCTTAGAAATAAAAATGCTAAATGCAAAAAATTGCAAACTTTAAATTATTTTGCTAAAAATCTAGTAATATATATATATATATATTTTTTTAAACTTTGCATTTTGCATTTAGTTTAAAATAGCATTAACTTTTGGCAGTCTGATCAAACGAGTCAAGAAACCGATGTTAAAATTGTAGCTGATGTCGCTTACAGTTCAGTTCTTACAGTGTAAATAAAGGTCACATTAATAATCAGCTTTGATAAATGCAAGAAAAAAATTAAATGTGCATTTTTCATTTAGTGTAAAAATGCATTAAAACAAGCCGTATGCTCAAACAATCGAGTCAATAAATTATAGCTCATATCACTGTTCATTTGTCACAATGGAAATAGAAGGTCACACCAGTTCTTACCTTTGAAATAAAAACAATAAATGCAAATAACAACATATTTTGCACTTTTAATGTAATGTAAGAATGCATTTAAAAATGCAGTCTGCTCAAACAATCAAGTCAATAAACATGTTAAAACTGTAGCTGATATGGCTGTTCATTTGTCACAATGTAAATGGAAGATCACAGCAATTATAACAAATAAATAAATAAATAATAATAAATAAAATAAAACAACTGCAAACAAAAGATATTTTCCATTTTTTATTTAATTTTAAAATGCATTAAATAAAGTCTGCTCAAACAACGAGTCAAGAAAGCTGACGTTGCTTACAGTTCATTTCTTACACTGGAAGGTCGGATCAAGTGCACTGCATTGTGGGATACAGTATCTCACACAGTGTGCTCTGTTGCAAATGGCATATTTTGGCGAACGTAGAAGGTCATCTGGGTATTTTTTTCATGCATACAGAAAATGTGCATGATGTGCACACTGCACACTACAGAAATAGTCCTAGTATTATTTTCCATATATAGCCACAGTGATCTTCATCCGGTGAGAAGTGCTGCATTCTGCAGTGTGTTTGAGTGCATTTCTACCCCACTTCTCCAGAGAAAAACACTATCCGTCTCTCTGCGGGCTGCCGGGAGTAAAAGAGCACTCTGACACCTGCTTAGTGTGTTTCTATATTTATGGAGAGAAGCTCCCGTCTCCATCGCTCGCCTTTAATTGGGAAAATCACCTTGCTCGGCCCGGAGTCTCCTGCAGCGGTTTGGGAGAGAGCAGCGCTCCGCTCCTTCAGTCTCCTAATGCCAACACATGCAGGAGAGTCCCGCCCCAGAGAGAGAGAAAGGAGGGAAGGAGGTGGATCTGTCATCTCATTCTTCTGGGCTCTAAACGGCCCCCAATCTCTCTCTCTCTCTCTCTCTCTCTCTCTCTCTCTCTCTCTATGCATGAATGAGTTACAATTCAAGCACCTGCACAAAATACTGTGAACATCATGAACACAGACAAGATCATCTGTGATCCTTTCTTACGAGAACAGATAATGAATGAAACTCGATTGCTCTTCCTAAAGAACATCTCAAATATAGAAGAGGAATAAATACAAATAAGATAAAATAAGAGTTAATATAAACAAAATGTAAAATATAATAAGATATAAAATAAGAGTTAATAGAAATAAAATATAAAACAAGAATAAATAAGATATAAAATAAGAGTTAATAGAAATAAAATTGAAAATAAGAAAAAATGTAAATAAGATAAAATAAGAATAAATATAAATGAAATGTAAAACAAATAAATAAGATATAAAATAAGAGTTATTATAATTAATAAAACAAGAATAAAGTGATAATGTAAAACATAAGTGAAATGTAAAATTAGAATAAATATAAATAAAATGTAAAATAGAATAAATAAGGCATAGAATAAGAGTTCATATAAATAAAAAATAAAATAAGAATACATATTAATAAAATTTAGAATAGAATTAATAAAATATAAAATAAGAGTTAATATAAATAAAATGTAAAATAAAATAAATAGGATATAAAATAAGAATAAATATAAATAAGATATAAAACAATAAATAAGATATAAAATAAGAATATATATACATATATAATTCTGCTTCTGATAAACTTATTTTATAAATAATGTGACAATCGTTTTCACCGTTTGTTTGAATACATGTCATTAACTAACTGCTTGAAGCTGCTTTGCAATGATTTGTATTGTGAAAAGTGCGATACAAATAAATATGAATTTAATTGAATTTGATGGGCACTTTATTACTGTGACACATGGAGGAGTTCATCTGAACGAATCACATGCAATTAAACAGAAAAAAGACAGATTACAGCCAAATAATTGATATTTATGAGATTAAGAAATTTTACATTGCTAATTAATTTAGTTTTATATAACGTTCATCACACGGTCTGGGAATAAATGAGAGAGGAAGGAAGTGACTGTGAGGAGCCACTGGAAAAACAGAATAAAACTACTAATTAATATGTCACAAACAAACAAACTGAGTCTACCTCAGAACACACACACACACACACACACACACACACACACACTCACTCAAATACACACACACACAAACACACACACGCACGCATGCACACTTCAAAGCTCTGGGTTTGTGTACATTTCCTGCTACATATGATCACCTGAGGAAAACACACACCTACAGATGAGCACAAATGGACCAAACCTCTTCTGAACAAACCAAAATGTCCTCCTCATGTTCTGAGGTTTGAGAGATCACCGCACTTTTAATACCTCAAAAACTCAAATCATTTCCATTGAAGATCATCAGTTTGATGCTTCACGACTTTCCTGATCTTATGAGAATTGAATAAAAATGCAAAATATAATCAGAAATATAAAACAAGAATTATTGTAAATATAAATAAAATAGAAAACAGAATAAATAAGACATAAAATAAGAATAAAAATAAAATGTAAAATATAATAAGATTTTGATTAAAATAAGATGTAAAAAAATAATATAAATAAGATATAAAACAGAACAAATATAAATAAAATGCAAAATAGAATAAAAAGGATATAAAATAAGAATAAATATAAATAAGATATAAAACAAGAATAAATGCA